ATCATAGTGAGGTTGAAGGTGTCTCTCACAGTAAGAGGCTGGACAAGATAAACAGGACTTGATGGCTTTCAGCTTCCTCCCAGTGCAGACATCACAGGCCACATCTTCAGGTCCAGCATAGCAGTGATCAGCTGGAGCAGCTTGGAGTCCAGTCTTCTTCAGTAACTCCATCAACTCTGCTAACATGGTGTTTTTCTCCAGGTCAGGCCTCAGTGTGAAAGTCTTCCTGCACTGAGGGCAGCTGTGGATTCCCTTCCTGTCCTCTTCATCAAAGTGGGTTTCGATACAGTTCATACAGTAGCTGTGTCCACAGGGAATAGTCACAGTATCCTTCAGTAGATCCAAACAGATCCAACAAGAGAACATTTCTCGATCTAGCTGATCTCTTTTCTGTGCCATTTCTCCTCTCAGTAAGAGTGACTCTGTGAGTTTCTGTTACATAGTGGTGAAACTATTCCAGAAAATATGTGGACAGACTGGAGCTGCTGTGCTTCAGGTAGAAGAGGGAGGAGTTAACAGACATTAGCTTTTACCAGGAAGAACAGTTTGAAGTAGACACTGTTTAGTAACTTTAAACATCATAGGTCTGTTTGTAGTTTGCATTTTTATCCGTTACCTCCTAGTCAGTTAAAAATCTGTAAATACATAATCAGCAAATGCAAACAACACTTGCAAATAAATATATATTCAGCACCCAATGAGACCACAGCAATATGTATAACTGCAACTCCTGCAAATGAGTCAGCCTCTGAAACTACAGGAATTATAAAACTGTAATGGCTAAAACTAAACATGGCAAGTATCTCAAGATTTGCACCTACGCTAACGGGTGAAAGTACCACTGCAATGAAGCAAGCATTGACACTATGCCTGCAACTAACAACACCAACATTGTCAAGTTAGTGAAACTGAAATGACTGAAACTTGAGTAACTGATACAAATAAATTATACCAGCAGCTGAAACTGGTGCAACTAAATGAAATACCCAAGCTACATCACCATCTGGTGCTAGTTATGGAAAGTTCCACAACTTAATCAAACACTGATACTACTGAACATCTGAAACTACAGATGGAAAGTTAGGCAGCTAAACTGCAGCAAGATCTAGTAAAAGTAAAGCTAGAGCAACTACTGTGACTACAAACTGCAGCAACATGTGAATCAGGCAACCACTTATGTGACAATAAAAAACTGAGATTTTAAGTTTATGCCTTGCTGCAGAGTTTTGTTCCAAGGAGTTTTTGTTTAGACATATAAACAGTGAGTTACAATAGTCCAAACATGATGA